TGCGGAGAGCTTCACAATCTGTGGTAGCTGTGTAACCCTCATCAAATCCTCATATGCAAACAAGGTGTGCGAGACACACTGGGTAAGTACATTGTATTATGAGAACTGAGTGATTTTCCAACTCACGTTATTTGCCTAGTTCCATCTAAAATGTGTGGAACATGTGCAAGCACCCTGGAATTTTGCCTGCATGACTTGTGCAAGACACAGGGGAAGCACTCACAAATGATGTCATATTACTATATATAGACATGTTCCTGATTACGTTAGTTAGTTTGTCCATCTCAAGTCGCCTTAAAAAAAAAAATCGACCCCGGGTCTTTTTTTTCAATGCCGGCCCCCCCTTGAGGGGGTTTTCCAGTTTTGTCATACAAGTGCGTTCCTTGATACCTATTATGTATCCTCCTCTATTGATATTTGAGGCTGCGTAGGTGACCAATGAGTCCTCTTGCAGGACCGCCTTACATATTTTTTATCGTGGCTATAGCAAGGGGGTGGCAGAATGTGGAAAAGAGACCAACACTCGTTTTTTCTTTTTCAAAGTTCAGCTTGACACCCCCCCACCACCTACCTTCCTAATAAAGTATGTTTTTTTTTTCTTTTTTTTCTTTTTTTAATTTAGGTGGAACAAGTCAACTCTTGAGTCAACTATGCCTATGTGCAGGTGGTCGGCCATCTTTTGCCTAAGCTAAACAAAATGGCTTTAAGATATGTACTTGTTCAAAGATGTATGGTAAGTAAGGACAAAATGAGACGGTGTTTCTTTCCGAGCATCAATATGTGATGAAAATCCTCAAAGGTAAATGGGGAGTTGAGGAATCGAGTTTCTGTTGTGCATGGGGTGGTGCGTGGAGCGAGGATAATTTCCATGCAGTGTAAATGTTCAAAAAACCAACCAAAAACACAAGCACGGTGGCGGGGACTCTAAATCCTTGGACCATTACTTACCTTTGGATGCATCGTCATCCATGGAAATCCGTGTGTTGCTGCATGTCAAACTCTACTAAAACATCCAAATTGCATCGAAAGTTCCAAAAGGCACATCGCTGACCACTTCAACCAGCAAATTTGATGGGGGTCACTCTTTTTTTTCAGCCTTCGGCTGGACCACCCCCCCCCCCTACCCTTGGTTCGGGATCCACGTCCCACTACCCCCTTGGGCTATAGTATCTTTTCAACGGTGGCAGCGTGGCGAATTATTTAAAGAAAGTTAAGACCTTTCTAGACGCGAACCCCAATGAAGTGTTGACCCTTCTTTTTACTAACCCAGAGGGGTTGTCTGTAAAGGACCTATGGAAACCGGCATTTGACAACTCGAGTAAGTCATGCTCTGTCTTTAATTATTTCATCAGTAACTCCGGGCAGGTATTACCCCTTTAATCTACATCCCCCCAACCATTCCCCTCAAACAATCAGATTGGCCAACCCTGGGAGTGATGATCGACAGTGGAAAGCGAGTGTTATCTTCATATTGTTAGGTTCTGTACAACTACACCAAAAAAACAAAAAAAAAACGGGTAAAACACAGTCAGTATCGCTACAAGAATGTCCAAGGACCTGATTAGATAAATGAACCTAAGAACACAGGCCGAAAATAAGATGAAAAGGGCAGGGAGATACATGGGTGTAAAGGAAAGGAAACTTCCAAAACCCCGTCTATCGTGGCCCTGGTCTATCCGTGGATAATATGTCCCGGAGGATGCTGGGTCGGCTCGCCAATATTCGGTAAATATGACCCCCACTCTTCTAGTCTACAGAGCAAAAGTAAAAATGAGTACTGAGACGAGGAAACGAAAACGTACGCAAATCCAGTCGGAGCGCTAGACCACGTCGACATCAAATCTGGGTCGATGTGCGGAGTTTGTGGTTGTTCGGCATACTTGTCCACAAGCCTAAGATGTGAACCATGCACCATCCCATCACCGCCCAATGACTGGCCCCTGTACATCCCCATACTATTCACCGACAGGGCGGAGGCGGCATGTGAAGCTGTGCTTGATATTTCGGGGGCAGCATAGGATCCCCCACTTGGACTCGACGACCTGGTGTAGGAGCTTCTATTTGATCTCGTGGGCGCAACATAGGAACCTGTGTTCGAATCAAGCGCCCCTGGATAGTAGTTGTGTGGTGCGGAGGGATTGTACGTCGCACTCGAGCCCGTTGTGTCCATCAAACTCCCAGCCCCACCGCCAATCACACCATATCGCTGCGTTGAGGATTTTGTTTCGGTGACAATGGGATACCGGTAGCTGAAGGTGGAGGAAGAACTGGATGTGTCAGAGTTGTCGATTATTGCAGAAGTAACGTTTGTGGTCGTACTCCCACTCCCCGCAAGCTCGGTTGAAGGATACCAGTAGCAGTGCGACTGATAGTCAAGCAGTGACTGTCCGGTCATCGAAAAATTGCCGTGCGGAGGCAATGTTACGTGTTCGCTGCTGTACATCAGCAGCCTATAGCACTCCGACGGCTGGGGTGGCTGAAAACTATCCGATGAGCGCTGTGCGTGTAGCGGTCTGTGCGCCTC